CATATGATCGCTTTTGAGTGATCTCCATCGAAAAAAGTGGAGCAAATGGTCACTTACACTACTTTAATACTTTTTGTAGTATTTTAAGAGTACTATCAGTGGTAAAGAAATTATGAGCCTCCGGTTTTTATCTTTTGAGATCAAAACCACAAAAGACGTTAGACATCATTGCAAATAATGGGAGAACTCTGCGAATTGTGTGAACATTTTGAACTTTGAACTCGTAGTCTTTACATAAATAAGGAATGTTAAGCATTATTATTGAACTTTCAAGATTTCGCCGGTCCTTTTTGCGAAGGATTTCACTCACGCGAAATTATTGATTTTGCAGTTTTCTATTACTGCAGTAAATACATGTGTAGTCATTAAATTAGTATTAATGCAAGAACAAGAAGAACAAATGACAAATGTCTTTCTTTGTACATTTTGCGTTACTTCATAATTGCCGTAAAATGATTGTTTAGCCATCACCCTTATAAACGTCAATCTATTGTCTGAACATACATCTGAGTTTCTTTACATTATAAAACAGATGGACCAGCAACGTCAAGTTTTATGAACTATTGACACAAAAAACGTATAAAGTCAATATGGAGTTGTAAGAAGTAACGAGTTAATAATAACAATGTGCAACAAAATTTTGGAGAACGAGTATATTAAGAACACAGAAATACAAATTCGCAATTGATCAAGTTTTTCAGTTACGACGTTAAGCACTTTTTGCTGGTAACTCTAAAATGCACGAAGAAAAAACTATATATGTTTGCGTCTATTGTAAGTTATTTTAGAGATGGTATACCTTAATTAAATTAAATGAGGAATATTTTTGAAGAATTTATCCTTCTTATATATATTTGACAATTTTGTCCTCCTGTGTTCTTTATATACTCGCCAAAGAATAACATGAGCTCCATTGTGTTGCATAGTGTAATTATTCAAAAATAAAACCGCAGACATTTAAAAAAAACATATTGAAATTACTCATTTTCGTATTGTCATCAATTGAATGAAATAAATATTGACGAATAGCCATAAAGTGTGAATATGACGCTAATGAATACAAGTAATTCCGGTGAAATATGTTGGCGTTTTTGCCATGAATTTAATAAATATATGCGAAATCATAATTTAAAATCACTGGTCGTTGAATTGATTATTTAAACAAATGGTTATATATATTTTTCTTAAGAAGAATTTTTAAGTATTTCCCCATTTATTTATTTTTTTGCATACATGTGTATTCTATTTAATTTTTTTCACAATAAAATTATTGCTTAATATTTACTCTTTTCGCAATACATTAAGCAAATAACTGTAAATATATATTTATTCTTTAAATAACAATGAACTTAAACGGGTTATTTGACACTGACAATCGTTGATAACGAACGCATTTTATTAATAAATTCATTAAAAAAAATATTTTTTTTAATTTTATACGAATACATAATAATTAGATGTTTTTTTTTTTGAAATAGCAGACTACTTATTGATAACAATAACAACGAATTTGAGATAAAACAAAATATTCTGATGTTTCGAATATTCATGACTGGCAAGTATTTCTAAAACACTTGTTGGAAAGAGATTAAATAAATAGATGAATGATTTGAATGAAATACGCTCATACCTTAATATTTCGGTTTGATTATCACTGAAAATTGCCTAACCCCGTATGACCTACTTGAAAGTAAAAAATGGGACTATACCAATAAATAATATGTTTTTGAAATACAAACAATTGCTACGTCACAAATAACAATTTTATACGAATACATAATAATTAAATGTTTCTTTCGAAATACTAGACAATTTGAGATAAAACGAAATATTCTGATGTTTCGAATATTCATGACTGGCAAGTATTTCTAAAACACTTGTTGGAAATAGATTAAATAAATATATGAATGATTTAGAAAATACGCTAATAGTTTAATATTTTTGGTTTGATTATCACTGAAAATTGCCTAACCCCGTATGATCTACTTGCAAGTAAAGAAGGGGACTATACCAATAATATGTTTTTTTAAATACAAACCAATCGCTACGTCACAAATGACAATAACAAATACTACAAAACAATTTTATTTTATTATTTCAAAACATTGTATTGGAAATACATTTTAGTAGCACTGAGATCAGTCTGGTTGTACCACACAAGGTTACCTGAAGTCGTAGGTAATCCCAAAATTGTATAGGTGTTTCCAATAGGAGGTGTTATTGTGACATTTGAAAACAATTCAGTTTTTATACCCTTAGCTCACATTCAAAATTCCTAAAAGGCTGTCAAAGGCTAAATTAAGTATATTAATGCTCCCGGAACTTCTCAATTGCCAAAATAAACTTTTGAATCTTTTATTTCGTATTCAGAACTAATTGTAAGACTTTTAACATCATATATTTCAGGCCAGTTTCGTAAACAGTCATAAATACTGTCACCTTCATTATTATGCTTGATTTAAAAGGTCAATAAACGTTTTCCGCAAGACTTCATTATGCAATTAAATAAATATATAAATATGTGCAAAATTGAAACGAAACAGTATGTATCGTAAACAATTATCTTTATTAGTCAAACCCATGCATAAAAATAAATAAATAAAACAAATAAATTTTCATTAAGGAATTTTTATACAATATTTGTTAAAGTTATGTATATTTGAAGTCGCGTGACTGAGATAAAAACCGGAGGCTCTCAATTTGTTACCATTGATAATGCACTTGTTTCTATATGAAGGAGTTGCCAGATCGAAACAAATTTAACATGTGTTTATAACAGTGATGGAATTTTCCAAAACACTTAACTTTTTCTGTTTATAAGTATTTAGGATGTGTTACAAAAAATTAATTGTGTTTCATTTACTTAACAATAAAAATTTTATTTTGATTCCGTCGTGTGAGCGACTGCGGAAAGGAACAGAATTCGAATGATTTGGACCAAATTCATTTGCTTCAAAATATATCTTATTTATTTTTGTTTTGAATCAATTATGTATTTTAAGAAAGCAAAGGAGTTGGGTCACACAAATTCGCCCGTTTCCAATTTTACAGAAACTGGCTAACATTTTTAAAAATAACAACTTCTAGTCAAATTTTTTTATCGTTAATTACTTGCTACACAAAAAAGATTCAAACAAATGCTGCATACTAAAAAATAATTTGCTGGTTCAGTTGATTTCATCAGCATCATTTCGTTCTATCCGATTAATGAAGTTATCAATCGCTAATGAGATTTGTATACAAATATCAATACAAAAAATACAACCTGTTTTTGATCAATGACATGGTTTTATATATCGCATAATTTTAATTTTGGCATACCAATTAATAGCGAATAGCAGAACAGACGAACACACTTCTCTATTTTCTAAATATTTTTTTAAGGAATAATTAAAATACATACAAATATAAATATCTATGAACTCTTTTCCAACATTTCCTACACCACTATGGACCAGACACCCCATTTTTTGGCCATAATTAGAGCAATGGCTTTATGAAATAAATAAATATCAAATCGTAATCAGCATCATCGAAATACGCTGATTACGATTCTGCAACAAAAACGTAAAACTTGAATAGGGTGGATCGAAATGACGGTCAAATTTTTTAAAAGTTGAATTAATTAAATTATTTTTGAACTCGTTTTGTAGAGCTATGGTCACTGTTTACAAATGGGAAATCAAATTTTGAAATCATTTAAAATAAATCCTAAATGACGGATCAAATATAAGAAAAAAATAACAAAAATGTCATCTCAAAAAACACAAACATTAGAGGGATACTATTATGGTTTTTGATAATACGAACATAAAATACCAAATTACAGCTAAATTGGTTGAAGGTTACGCAATATCTTCCAATTTTATAATCGGCATGCTATGTTAGTAAATATGTGTTTATTACATTTGTAAAGGCAATTTTCAGGGACCATTTTTATATTATCGACAATAACTCTTAAATTAAAGGTCACAAGATTCTGGACAGAGAAAATAACAAGGCGTTGATTCATTACTGTCTGCCACTAGGTTCTGAACCTCCATTTTTTGTTAGTTCTGTAAGTGGAATTGAATTTTTAGAACATTTCACCTAAAAACACTCTGAAAATAATATAAAGGAAAAAATACATTTTTATTTATATATTAAAATTTAATCTTATATGTTTGTTCTTTATAGTCTGCCCGTTGGTTGAAATATGACAAAGCTCATTTATTTGGTCCAAAGTATGTTATTGAAATTGGGAAAAATCGTTTTCGATTTACATATAGCTCCCATATATAGTTTCATACATTTTAAGTAAGTTATGTACCGAAACCCCAAAGTTAAGCCGATTGCCAAAAATCGTGCATAGCGTACTGAAATTACTATAACGTGTGTAAGTTGTGCAGCAAAGACAGAAGTTAGTATAGCCTAACGTGTGTTAATTTTTGTTGAAATCGGTTCAGTTTTAGATATATCTCCTATTTTTGTCCGATTTTCTGTAAATGGTGCACCAAAGATAGGCCGATTGGCACAACATTTTGTAAAACGTCAATGTAAGCTAACGTGTATCAAGTTTTGTTGAAATTTGTAGTTTTTCAAATATAACAATAACATCATTCCTACGAGGAATATATAGCCTAAGGCCGGACGTTGAGTGCTCATATAAGTCATATTTGGAATTTCCCGGCAGAATTGCACATCTCCTATAGGGATTTTTTCTTATCAACAAAAAAGTGATGGGAAGTCCCTGATAGGTGGTTACAAATGTATTTATTAATTAATAATGTTTAATCATTTTCGAATTTTGACAAATTTTGGAAAGTAAAAAAAATTATACAGCTTTCCCAGTTCTTTGGAATTTGACGTTGCTCCCTGTTTCAAGATTATAACATTATCTGCTAATGTTATTTAATGTGTTAGTTAGCAATTTTTGTTTTGTTTTTTTCAAACGAATACAAATGAAAAATGTTTACTCTAATGATTAATGTATATTTTATTTGGAATTCATTTCATTTCAGATTACGATGACGATATTTGCGTCATTAATATTTGCAATACTGTTGATCAATAACAGTTGTTGTAATGGCTACAGCAATAAGCCCATTATGGATAAAAATCTACAGGTACCCTATGCATGGAATATCTTAGAATATAGTTTCCCCACTGATGCTGATCGCAGAGCTGCGATTGCAAATGATAACTATGTACAGAGTAATGGACTACCCATCGATGTACAGCCGCATTATTCAAGTAAGATATTATCAGGTTTTAAAATTTGCTATAACTTTTACATAAATTTGCTTTTTTTTACTGTTATTTTAGAAAATAAACCTGTGAGAACATTTGTGACAATACCCAGATTCCAAACTGGCATTCCGTATACCTTGGCCATCATATCAAATAAAATGGGTCCTAATGGACCCATACTAGAACCATATCCCTCCTATCGGTCCCACAATGTTAATGGTGATGATTGTGATCAAATAACATCGGCATTCAGAGTTGCGGTAAGTTGAAAATATGCGAATAATACTTCTAAGTTATTTTTCAATTTCATGTTTAATTCCAGATAACCGAATGTAATCAAATGTGGATCATGGATTCCGGATCTGTGGGTTTGGAGACACGTTGCGCCCCACAACTGCTACTCATCGATTTGAATACCGATCAACTGATACATCGTTACAGATTCAATACCACCGTTTATACACCATCCGCCTCATTGCTAGTCACTCCCATTGTTGTTGTCAAAGATCCGCCACCAAAGGGTCGCTGCCGAAATGCCATGGTCTATGTGGCCGATGTCAATTATCATGGCCTAATTGTTTACGATTACAATGCCAATAGTTCATGGCGTTCGGAACACAAATATATGTATCCTGATCCAGATTATGGTACCCATACTGTGGCTGAAGATTCCTTCACTCTCATGGATGGTATTATTGGTATGACTACAGACAAAAGACATCTGTTCTTCCATCCCATGGCCAGTATCACCGAATATACAGTTCCTTTGCATGTTCTCGATAATTCATCGCATTTTACACAAGGTGATGGTGCTTTAGAAGCCTTCATGCCATTGGGTAAACGCAGCAGTGAATGTGTAGCCACGGCCACCGACAGTTGGGATAATGTATATTGTGTAACCTTTAATCCCATTGAATTGATATCCTGGAATGTTAGTACACGTTACCATAACAGAAACTTTAAAAAGATACCCATTTCTAAGGATATTTTGGAATTTGTTAGTGGCATGAAGGTGGTGATCAATAATGAGGATAAAGAAGAACTGTGGATGATTTCAAATCGATTCCAGGTAAAAGAGTGATAATACTTATAAAATATTTAAAATAAATTAATATTATTTTAATTTTATTTACAGAAAGTAGCTGCTGAAACCCAAAAAACCAATGAACTGAATTTTAGAATATTAATTTATACCTTAGGTGCTCCACGTGTACCTTCTAGTTCAAATGTAAATGATTTACACACTAGATTAGTTTTTAGCAGTTAATTCAATAACAAAATAACTGTACAAATAGTTACTGAATTAATATTAATTACTTTAATTTATTGTTTTCTTCAAATAAAATCAATATTATTTCAACAAATTGTTTTATTTTCGGGATTTTACATCCAACTTTCTTCCAGAATCCGGAATTTCCAAAAAATAACTAAAACGAATATGTCATTATGGATCTCATCGTAATTACTGCATCCGTAGCTGCTATATTCTGTAATATACAATTAAATAGAGATAATTATTGAACAATCATTCACACACGATCACACATATACACACATACAACAGTTGCATTCATTGATTTATTTTCAAATTACGAATGGATTTTTTTTTTCTTTTTTGATGTAACATCAAAATAAGCCTTTCCACCTGACTGAACAATTAAAATTCAATTTATTTTAAGACAGTAGAAATAATTAAGTACGATAACCCTTAAACCACTGCCATGGCCTACAAATGTTCAACATCAATGGTGATATATAATTACATTCATAATTATGGGATTTTAAAGATAATTATGACATTATTACCCTTTTAATTGAGAGCAACATTAAATTTTTTGTTTCCGGATACATCTTTTAGTCGGAAAAATGGAAATAGTATAAAATAAAATAAGATAATGTAATTTTTGTTTTTATTCTCTTTAATTTGGCTATCAATTTTGCTAATTTTCGGAGTATAAATTAATACAATGTAGTACTAAATTGCAGGATATATTTTTTAATCAAGGGATCATTGATCCCATTTTCAAAATAGAAATATGTTTGCACTATATGAATTGATATTATACATATTCACATATTTTTAATTAAATTATCGGTTAATTATCGGTTAAAAAAAATTATTCAAATTCAATAAAAAAAACTTGGCATCATTTATAAATGGTCTTATATTTCTCTAAAATAAAGCATACTTTTAGGAGCCTTCGTGTATTTTCCATTTGGATGAAATCGAATTAAAATAAATGAAAACTATATCTAAATCAGTAGGCCTATTCTGTAACTTTTTAACAATATTCGATTTTGTTTATATTACAATAACAAAAGAAATTTAAACAATACTGAACCGATTTTCATGAAACTTAGCACACATCCTTCTAGACTCAATTCAGTACGCTATGCAAAATTACGTAAAAATAAAAAATATAGGTGCTTTAGTGCACCATTTGCATAAAATTGTACGGAAATATATGTGTTAGCTGTATCTAAATCTAAAACCTAGACTAAATATGGAACAAACATAGCCTCATGGGTGCATAATTTATATAAAATCGGACGAAAATATTAACCTATATATCTACATCTTAACCGATTTTTACAAATCTTAATACACATTACCATTAACTCAATTCAGTACGCTGTGCACAAATTGTCTCAATCGGAAAAGTCAAAATCCATCCACAGTAGTTTGTAAAAAACCGCTTTAAGGGGAGCCCTCCGCATTCTCGGTATCAAAAAATGTTTTTAATTTAATTCGAATCTGCTATAATTCTAGAATGTCCCTGCAAAATTTCAAGTGAAAATCCCAAGAACTCTTGAACATATAGCCGATTTATTGTGTCAGCATCAAGTGATGGCAAGAGCGATTTTCAAACTTTAAACGCATTTTTCTCGAAACAGTTTTTTTACGAATGGCGGGAACGATAACTCAAAAACTAATAATCCAATCGGATCCAAATTTCGACACGTTTCTCTGAGAGTGTATAGTTCTCGTATGAATTAGGATAAAGCCAATCGGTGGAGATCTTCTTGATTTTTTAATTGAGTTTGTGGTCAAAAATAGGCGATTTTCAAAAAAAAAAATTAAAGTTCCGCCATTTTGTTAATTGTTGTGCGAAGTCAATAATCCTAGTTCATACAAGAGCTAGACAAGTACTCTTTCTAATACCGTTGGAATTTTCGGATTCCGATGTTCCAGTGAGAAGTTATCATGCCCGCCATAAAAAAAGACTTTTCTTTGATCACAAAAACTAACAACAAAAAACTAATAAACAGTTGTTTTTTTATAAAAACAACAAACTGGGATTAAACCTGACTATTTTGCAAAAACAAAATACAAATGGTATCCCAAATAACCCGCCAAACACTACTAAAAATTTTTATAAATAATTTTTCTTCCTTTTTAAATCTTCAAATATATATGTGCAAAGTTACAAACCTTAACAAGCATTGGTATTCATTTACCAGCCCATTTAAAATCTTAAAAATAAGAAATCGAGAATAAAAAATAAAGCAAATTTTACAAACGACTGTTAATTTTAATTTCATCTAGGCAATTTTAATAATACATTTCATTATTAATTCTTTTATGTTGGAATAATTGAAATTACTTAAAGATTCTGTTTTTCTTGTCATTGATTGCGCAGATTCTGCAGATTACATTCATTAGAATTTTGTATATTTCATTAATTTTTCCTCCACATAATCCGTCACATAATTTTCATAGAAAGGTTTTTTTTTTAATTTTAAAATATTTGCTTCTTTCATCGCTATATAAGTTATGATAACCTCTGTGGCATTTAAGAACATGTATTCTCAAATAGTAAAGTCTAGAGCGTGACATCTTGTGTTGACACATCAAACATTCATTGATTCCATAATAATTTTCGGCAAACAACAATTCGTCTTCATACTGATCAGCCATTTCGCTATGTACGAATTTAAAAAATGTAAACACAACACATGGTCGTACGTCAAACCGTTCTGAGTGAGTTGATGCTAAAACATATCAAACTTTCCTTAGTATTGCCTAGATAAGATATAAATATATACAGTAGCTTGCGTATATATGTGACATATTGATGCGAAACGTTTTCATACCTTTCTGAAATTAAAATTCAATTATTAATTCATTCAAAACGTAAAACCGGACTTTTAGTAAAGGTTTCACACACGTCGGCATTTCAGATCGTTCAATAATGCATGGCAGGATTTATATTATTTGTTTACAGATCATAAACGATACATTAACACTCCCATTTGCAGTCAGAACTGGCATGTCGTGAAGAAAAGTCTGTGAAATTTAAAAGCGCATAAAATGTCAAAAAAATTAAAACGTGAAATGTGAGTTAGAACATACGTTTTTTTTTTTATCAAGCACTGAATAATTGAGCTTTATTAAAAAAACTCGTAGCCATAGTCCTTAAAATAATATACCGGATATTATCTACAGTGATCAAATTTTTAATCACAAAAAAAATCTATGGGAATATTATTTTAAACAATTTGCGCTTTGTTTTGTAGTTGAAATATAAATAAGCCTATTCTCATTGTAATAAGTGAAAGTGAAAATAATCTATAAAATTCGATATTATAAACAAGTCCGGTTTTCATTTAATTTTAATAATCTGTTTAACGTTGACTACAAATATTAAATGAAATATACAATTCCATACATATTTAAAGTGCTTCAAACCATTTACAATCATAATTATTAAAATTTTAAATTCAAATAATTTCAATGTTGTGTATTTTTCTCATTTCAGCACAAAAATATATCTCTGTTTATTATTGATTAGACCCACATTCTCAAGAAACGAATATTTGCCACCGCCAATACCGAAATCGACGGAATCCTATCCTCTGGAATCAACACAGACTAACGTTTCCGTCTACAAATATGATTATGATCCGGCAAATGAATTAGATTTCAGTGAAAGCCATAAGGAAAGTCCACCCAATAAAGATCTGAAACCATTACAGTCTGAAAATCGAAATTTACCTTTACTCAAATTACCAACTAGTTATCAGCGGCAGCTTACCACAGTATTTGAAGGTAATACATTGGAATTTGAATTTCCCTCTGAAAAAGATCGAAAAACTGCTCTCAAAGATGGACGATACAATCCGAATAGTATTCTGCCCATAGATGTGGATGTGTATTCACCAAGTGAGTTGTCATTTAGATGGAATCCTTAATTTGAATTTTAACTGTATTTTGTTGTAATTTCAGATGATAGCAGTAAAACTCAAGTGTTTCTGACAATCCCTCGTTTCGATAGAGGTCCTCCATATTCATTGGGTCGAGTTCGCAATGATCCAGGTCAGAGTGGAATAGAATTGGAAGCATATCCCGATTACTCATGGCACAGTTCATATGGGGCCAATTGTAAAGGCTTGACCTCGGTTTATAGAGTCATGGTCAGTAGATGTGTATATTTCAATTAGAATTTTCTTTGTTTTATTGTTTATCTTTCAGATTGATCCCTGTAATCGCATGTGGATATTGGACAGCGGTGAAATTGGTCGTAATCACACCTGCAATCCACAAATTGTGGTCTTCGATATACCCAGTCATAAAGAGGTTCATCGTTATGTATTTCCATCTAAAGTCTTTGTCAAAGATTATAGTCGCCTGGTCACAATTGTGCTTGATGTTGCCGATCCTCCACCCAAGGGTCGCTGTGAAAAAACATTTGCCTATATGGCTGATGCAACCTCTTTCGCCCTGGTTGTTTACGATCTTGCCAAACGAGATTCATGGCGTATTGAAAATCGATTTACATATCCAAATCCACATTTCAGCAAACACACTGTAGCTGGTGAAAGCTTTGAACTATTGGATGGTGTTTTCGGCATGTCAGTAACCCCTCGAGATTTAGGCATGCAACGCATGTTGTATTTCCATTCGTTGAGTAATGATCTGCTGGCATCGGTACCCCTGGATGTACTCAATAATGGTAGTAATTTTCGTGTGGGAGATATATCGGCGAGGTTAAGTGATTTTCGTGCTGTTGGTCAAAGAGGTGTACAGTGCACCGTATCGGCAATGACACCTCAAGGCTATTTATTATGTGGCTTCTTAAATCCAATTGGAATTGTTGGTTGGGATATACGGAAACCTTATACACCGGAGAATCGCATAACTTTGGCGGAAAATTCTAAAACCTTGCAATTTATTGGTGGTTTGAAAATTGTCCGCAATGCTCGGGGTAAACTTGAGGTTTGGATGCTATCAAATCGAGCCCAGAAATTCTTTAGTGGTACAAATAATTTAAAAGAAATCAATTATCGTATTTTGAAATGTGGCCTTAATGAATTGTTGTTAGGTTTGCCGTGTTTGTTATAGAATGGAGCATTATCCTTCTGAGATTTTCAAATTCTGTGTTTGATATAATGTTTTTATTTGAAGTATAAGAATTTTGTGTTTTAGAAAAAAACATGCATTTGCATTGTTTTCTAACCATTTAGATATTAAGTAAAAAGTTGTGATGAAAACAAAATGTTTTACATTTTACTGCAATCAATAAAACGCCTGCAGTTGTATTCAGTCTCGTTTTAAAATAAATCAAGAATAAATTTGTCTGTCTGTACGAACATCACGAAATGAATGGAAATGCACTTTTAAGCCCCCCTTCCAAACGCATGCCAATAAAAACAACGCTAAACACACATTTATATACATACCTACATACAAATACACACGCCTACATTTGTTGTTCTTAAAATGTTATCAAAGTTGTAATTTTTCATAAAAAACTCTGCTGGTTTGGATTCGATACAACCAATAAAATTTATAAAGAATTTGTTCGGGATGGGGGGCGATTGCCTTTATCAGCTTCTATTTGATTTTTTAATTGAGGAGCCAGTAAATCAATTTCATGGATGTTTTTGTCTGTTAACCGTGTGTTTTACAGCATTGAGTAGTTTTACCCATCGTTGGATGCCCGCGCACAATGCCAGTGGGATGAAACCCCTTTTTCGTTCACTTTGTAGTAGCAACACTATCAAGCTATTTGGTATGATTTTTCCTCACTCTTGGGAAAGGTAAACAAACACACAAATAAATAACCGATGTATGTGAACATCAAATACCTTTATTTTCTCTGGTCTTTTGACATTTGTAATAATTCTTGGCAACACCACTGACGCTATGACCGGGTCACTTGATACCGTATCGAATACCAGCATGCGTTAATACCTGAGAAGTTCGTATGTCTGGTGTGCGGTAACAGTGCTGATTGTGATTAAAGATATGTATGTAGGTAGGGAAATATGGGTGTTTCCCATACACATTTCTACCGCGCAACACCACTTCGTTATCGGTGATTTAGGGTTGTGATTTATTTTTCTAAATAAACAGTAGGTAAAATATTTAAATTTATTTAGAAAGAAGACATTCTATATTTTGTATATTTGAAGTCTATACTAATTTTATAAGTATACTTTGACAGCAAACTTAATAGACAGGTGGACTTCTGGGCTTCTTTTTTACTGAATGCTGTTCGTTTACTCTTTGCAAGTTTCTTTCTTCTTCGTTTTTTACTTACATATTGGCTGGCTTATGACGGAACGGCTGTTCCATAAGCCGAGCTTAAAAAAGATTTCCAGGCGCGTCGCATCTCAACCAATTTGAAATACCATTTTCCGCGATGATGTCTTCTGTCTTCTACCTGATCTTTCAATCGGATTCGTGGCCTTTCCCTTCTGCGTGAACCATTACTTGTTTCGCTTTTATATGCCTTTTAAGCTGGGGCATCTTCATCTATTCTCACAAGATGGCCTAGGCAACGTAGTCGCTGCAGCTCGATCCGTCTGACTATGTCGATGTCTGAGAATATATTGTATAACTCATGGTTCATTCGACGGCGATATTCACCATCGACGCATAAATATTTCGGAGATTTTTTCTCTCAAACACTCCAAGAGCTGCCTCATCTGCTTGCGCAAATACACATGCTTCAGATCCATACAAAAGCACGGGTAATATCAACGTCTTGTAGAGTGTGAGTTTGGTGTGGCGAGAGGTGGTCTTGCTTTTGAGTTGCTTACTCAAACCATAGTAGCATCTGTCGGTCAACAGTATTCTTCTCCGGATGTCACAACTAAGGTTATTCGTTTTGTTTATGGCGGTACGGAGGTATATAAAATCGTTCTAGTTTTCAAGTTCCACAGTTGGTCCGAGTTTACTGGACGTTTTGCGCGTTGATACCATCCACCATCAGTTTGGCCTTTTCGCCATTTACTGTCAGTCCACTTTGGCAGACTCCTTCTCAATTCGTTCAAAGGTGACTGTTGCCGCTCGCAATGTTCGACCCATTATATCGATGTCGTCGGCGTAGGCGAGTAACATATGATGTTTGGTGTACAGAGAGTCATTTCTGTTCACATTTGCAGCAGGATGTTGAACAGGTCACATGTCAAACTGTTACCTTGTCTGAATCCTCGTACGGTATTGAAGGGCTCCGAAAGATCCTTTCCGACTTTAACTGCTGATATAGCCGTATTAGTTTTGCAGGAATACGTAGACATGGCTTTAAACACCTCTGAACGGATGGGACGGTCGAATGCGGTTTTATAGTCGACGAATAGGTGGAATGTGTCGATGTGTTTTTCGTGTTTTTTTCAGGAACAGGCGCAGATTGAAAATCTGGCCAATGGTGGATTTGCAAGTCCTGAAGCCGCATTGGTTTAGTCCAATAATATCTTCAAGCTTCAGTCATTAACACAGCACGCTGGATAACACTTTACATGGGGTGGGACGGAGATTAATTCCTCTATAGTTGGCAGATATCGCATTGTCTCTTTTTTTGCACATGGGACACAGGATGCTGAGGTTCCAATCATTGGGCATGCATTCCTCTAGCCAAATTGTACTAATCAGTTGGTGCATGCTCCTGATCAGCGTCTGACCACCGGCCTTGAATAGTTCGGAAGATAATCCATCGGCACCTGTTGCTTAATTATTCTTCAGCCGATTAATTGCTATTCTGACCTCATCTTGGCTAGGTGGTATACAATATATACCGTCATCTCTTATTGGTTCTGGGGTATCTTCTTCACCGCTACTATTTGATACCAGAAGTTTTGCAAAATGCTCCTTCAACACGCTGTATCTGTAACTAGGCTTCCTTCTTCACTTCTATAAGTGGATGTGCCTGTACCACATCGAGATTCTTGAATCTGGTGCTTCTAACTACCATGTTTATTGCTGCCACGAAGTCAATCAACCTCATGTCATTGACGGATGTCAACGGCATGAGGTAAAATATGTCTTTGGTCTGTTCATCTTTGTCTTCGGTCGTAGCATGTGCGAAAATAAGACTGATGTAGATAAACTTCGCTTTAATACGGAATATATTCACAATTGAGATGAAAGAGGGACCAAGATAAGTCTGGCTTTTGCTATGTTAGAGCCAACCAGAGCCGTTGCTTTGTATTTACAACATGGTTACCCTTTTTATCCGCCTAAAACATAGTGACAATCCATTTTTTTAAATCTCTTTTAACCATGTACCTTATTTTCAAACGTACTGTTACCGAGCACTACAGCCATGTAAAGCGGCATAAATAGTCAATTAGACCTTGTTAGCGCCTGTGTGTACTCACACTGTGCAAACAAAAGTCTGTGGGGATTTCTGGTATCATCGACAAGTGTACACAAGATCAAGGATCAACTCATAAGACAAGGCTCTAACACAACTCATAAGACAAGGCTCTAACACACATCTAGCTGTGAGCGAGCGTATCTGTGTGTGTGTTTGAGACGTCTAGGACACACATTCAAATGTCTGATTAAACAAACCGACCAACTGGGAGGGCTTGACAAACAATGAACAACAAATAGTGGACAAAGGCACAAAAGGGTTTCTTCCTAAATCTGTCTGTCGGTCTTTCAGCCAAGCCAGTCTGTCCATCTTGTTGAACAACAGTCAAGCCGGAACGAATTAGTTGTGTGTGCTTCAGACACATTGGGAGAAACGTGATGGACAATACCATGAATACTGAAATAAAAATTCTTTAAAAATCGCTTCTTCTTAAATATTTTTTATATTTACATATTTTTAATTAAAATTTAACAGTTATCTACGATATTGGAGGTCCGTTTTCTCTACAGCATACTTTCTATACTATTGGTCGTATTTGTATTCCTATCACTATTTCTTAATAAAATACTTATTGGAGATAAAACATCATATTTGTTTTCGGCTTGGCTTTTTTTATTTGTGGTTAATTTCCGGAGAAATGAAATTGCAAAAATAGTGCAGGTTCTGGAGCACATTTATTTCAGATTCATTATATTTTCAAATTCATTACCCAAAACTTATTACAAAAATCAATATCCTCCACTGTGTTCCATGCCCCTTCATATGATGTACTATGTTTGTACATATCAGTAAGTATATTTGACAATCGGTCTTTTGGGCATCGATCTTCTTATTAGATGAATGCATCGTAAGGTTTGGATGCGTTTGGAAATTGTTATTTGAGTTCTCGACGTTCGATACAATAATGGTATCCCGCAGTTCTGTTGCAGCAACAGCAGCAGCCGTCACAACAACAACCTCGGAATAAATAAATTTTATACCTTTCGTCTGTGGTGCATGTTTAGTTGTCATCCAACCAAGGTGTGGTAAAGACGTATCACGTTCAAATTCGGATTGAATCGAGTCTTTTTCTGTAATCGTTCAAGAAATGTTTAAATTCAAAATTTTTGTTTTATTTGAAATTATTTTACCAAATGTCCTCGTATTTGCAAGTGATAATGTCAGTCGTTTGAAAGAGCGTGAATTTTTTACATTACACAAATGGACGAAGGGAATTGAATTAACATTCCCCAGTGAAAGTGAACGCAGTGCAGCCATAAGTGCCGGTTATTATGACTTAAATCGAATACAATTACCAGTGGATATTGATATTGATTATATAGGTAAACAATAATGATCGATATTAAGAATTCGAGACCAGCTAAAAATGTGAGGGTTTGGGTGCAAAAAAACTTTCCTTGGAAAATATTTAAAACCAGCATAAAAGAATATCGAAATGTAAAAAATGTTTCAATTTAAAAATAAAGATAAAAAATTAGTGATGCTTATATTTTCTTTTGTCAATATTAACTACATATACTATATTTTACAAACTTACCTAAAATAAAGAAAGTTAATCTGTGTTTGTAATGGAACACTAAATATCAATATCGTTTGTTTTGAAAGTGAACGTTGCATTGTTTTTACTTCTTTTATACCCCCGTAGCTTCATAGTAAAAAATTTTTTTCGTACGTTCCCACGCCTCTAACACCTGCCCCTGCCGACCGAGGGGGCTACCACCCTATACGCAGGGAGCACGTACACACCAAAGACCGGACTAAGGCGGGTTAGTAGTGGTTTAACTATACCGGCTACAGATAGATCATCATAAATGTTTAAATTTGTAATAAAATACATATTTTTAATATAAAATATTTATGTTGAAGATAAAGGAGTGTCGTTATCTGGATTAACTAGAAATTTCGTCCGGTGGGAAAAATGTGTGGAATTTTGGAATTATTTATGAATGCATGGCCACGTACTGGGACAGCTACTTGCCACAGAATTATATAAATATTTAATGTTAGAAGATAAAATTAACAACACATTGTATGAAAAATATATATTTTAGAGGGCTTAATAGGTATGTCCGTTTATTTTTCCCTTAGAAATTACTCAGTAACATCTACTGAGAAAGTTAAACCTTTCAATGGAAAATATTGTCAAAAGTAGGAGGTTATGGCGTAAGTAGGAGGTTATGGAAATTCGTACTACTGTGTACTAAAGTTGGTACAATTTGAATTGAGGGTGAACCGGTACAATTTGAATTGAGTTGGAATGCTGAAACTTGGATTTAAGATCACTGTGGGGGTGAAGGTTTGGGTTAAACAGGAAGTTTTGGAAATTCGTACTACTGTGTACTACATTTGATGCAATTTGAATCTTGGGTGAACCGATAGGTTTTGAATCCTGATTTAGGATCACTGTGGTGGTGTAGGATTGGGGTATGTAGGAAGTTTTGGAAATTGGTACTACTGTGTACTAAATATGGTACAATTTAAATTCTGGGTGAACCAATGGAGTTGGAATACTGAAATTTGAATTTGGAATCATTGTGGGGGTTTAGGATCAGGGTATGCAGGAAGTTTTGTTGGATGGTTGAGGCGGGTACCTATGGATATAATGTGTGCTAAATGAAACTAAATTTTGTAAATTTGGATTTGGGTGAACCTTTAGAGCTCGAATCATAAAATTTGGTACTAAATGGTACTCAAATTTAATTTATTGCCGATATTATTGTGTTGATTGATTAGTTTTTGTGACATATGCAGTATTCTGTGAAAATAAAATAATATGTTAATACATATTTAAATATTTCCCACATTTGCTAACGAAGTGGCGGGCATATGCTATATAAAATAACATTTTTACGAGGACATATTTTATGTTCTGCAACATTACACCATTTTAATTCTACTCATCAAATTGTCAAATTAAAATTTTATTCGAGTAGGGTTTTTTTCTATCTGAAAATACGGCTAGTTCCATCTACGTAAAAACGTAAATAATTTTTTGGTTTCACGAAAATTAGGCATTACACTCCCAAAATGGTGCTTATTGGGTGTTGTCAATACACTAACAATGTGGCGGTTCCTTTATAAGGGAGCTATATTGAAAATTTTCTGTCACTTTGGTTGGAAAATTTACATAGGAATCAGCAGATCTAAATTTAAATGCCACCCACGCTCTAAAAAATGACAAAACAAAGACTTTTTTATTTGTTAAATATTTTTAATCAGTTTCTACTATTATTTATTTAAACATTCCAAATATTTATATTTCCATTTTATTGCTTAGCTTTGGCTTAGCTTCAAATTCTACTGTGCATTTTGTTATGTTTCGAATGAAGTTTTTCACACAATATATAGACTTTAAAACTATTGCCAATAAATAGCAATACAAATTAATATGATTTTTTATTTTTTTAGAAAATAATGTTCATCGAACATTTCTAACGATTCCACGGCTAAATTTTGGAGTCCCATATTCATTGGCCACAATTTGGGAGAATGATCACAAAACTCAATTAAATCCCAAAGTGCAGGCATATCCTAATTATGTATGGCATCACAGTCATGGAACAAATTGTTCTGCCATAACATCCGCCTTAAGGACATATGTAAATATAGCTTTCATTTTAAAAATATAAGTGATATATTAATATCGTATATTTATTTTTTTAGATTGATGAATGTCAACGTTTGTGGGTACTCGATTCGGGACAAATCAATTCCCTACAGTGGTGTCCACCACAAATTTTACTTTTCAATCTGACAACAGATAATTTAATTCAACGCTATGTGTTACCTTCGAATAACTACAAAGCTGGTATTTCCGTTTACACCGATATGGTTGCAGATGTGGCGTCGACGGATACATGCAGCAATACCCGTGTGTATATATCTGATGCATGGGGCCATGGCTTGATCGTGTACGATATGCTGAAACATAAATCTTGGCGCATTGAACATGATCTCATGAAACCGGATAGAACGCTGATCAATAATGCCCACGATGGCATATTCACTGTCAGTTTGAGTCCAAAGAATACTAAATTACAAGGTAATGTTGAAGCAAATTTTAGACCATTATTATAATTTAATTGTTTTCCAGAACGTTATCTTTACTTCCATTCATTGAACAGCTTCAATGAAGTTCGAATTCCTTTGCATTTGATTAACAACGAATCGTTGTGGTACTATCCAAAAGAGAATTTAGCTACGGCCAAATATTTTACAGTATTGGGTTCACGTGGTACCCAATGTGAGTCGGAGATAATGGATGACTATGGCAATCTCTATTGTACGCTTATCGGTTCAAATGCATTGGTCAGTTGGAAGGAGGGTCGCACATATTCTGCGGATAATTTAAATGTCGTAGCTTATGGGCCACAGCAATGGCGTTTCATTACGGGTTTGAAATTAACAAAATATCAGCAGCGGCATCAGGAATTGTGGGCACTGAGTACAGAACCGAAGGTAATTATTACCGATCCTTTACAAATTTAAAATAACTTTTTTTGTTTTTTACTTTATAGCTCTTCATGGGTAATGCCATGCCAAATGACCGAGTCATGTATCAAATTATTGGTTGTCGCTTAAAAAATTTGCTACGCAATGAACGGTGTACTGTGGGAGTAATGGATTTTGAAATATCAAATCGTATTTAATTATTATAAAAAAAACTATAATTTTGTTGTAAATACTAAGCTCGTTTATAGATATGTATGTTATTGAAGTAATTTAATAAATGTAAATGAAATAAAATTGATTTGAAAATTATAATATAGTGTCGATTACAGGATGTGTAAGAAGCGAATAATATCGGCAATTATGTTTGAAAATTCCCATACTGTCAAATACCTACAAAAGTAGCACCCCGCACTGATATTTTTATTAATCATTGGTCATTGGTTTTCAAATTGAAAAGTTATTTTACGTACTTTTGATAGCCTAATATTGGTCTGTTCCCGTACTGCAAGAATCTACTAATTTTTAATATTTTCTTCGATATCATAAAGAAAAAATTGTTATCGTAGTAAAAAATTATACATTCTTGCCTGTCCTGGAAAATGCAATATGTTTTTTATTCGAAATCCAATATTTTCACAAAAAAATGTAGATATCAGCTGGCATTACTGGGTAACCTAATATTATATAGGCCTTGGCCAGTATGGTTTTTTAGTTTTCCATTAATTCGCCTCCGGTTTACCTTATAAATATGACATGGTCTGAGCGAATTAAATTATTGAACTAGGAATGTTCTGGTAGTTCATTTTAGTGAACGGTTTATTTGAGCCAGGTTGTTCAGGAACAACACATTGGGCTCGAGATCCTTGCATTTCCCGATTTAACGAGAACAATAGGTAGGATAGTAATAATTTATATATAAATACATATATCTGCAAATTTGACATTAAATTTCCAATTTTTATTAGCGACTTTTTCTTTGTGCAACAATCCGAATTTTCATTGTGAAATTATAGACGTTTTTAACGGCCCGCTTCAACATGAATCAAAACGATACCTCTTCAATGGACATTGATTCGGAAACGGCTAAAAAGCTTTTCGATCATGGCGCTGTACTGCTAATCACTGGTGTTCCTAGAAAAACGGAATTTGGTATTGACTTGTGCTCATACACCACCGATGAAAATTTCCGTGGCGTCAAAATGATACCGCCAGGACCTCATCATGTTTGGTGCGCATCCACTGGACCATATGGTGATACAGCTCCTCGTGTAGGATTTGCACATTTTTTCCACGAGCAAGAGATATTGGTAAAGGAATGGGATGCCGAGAACGAAGAACTACGAGATCGCCAAGTCAACGACCCCGAACTTGAATTACAACGTATTAGATCAAATCTAAAATCATTGGATATATATTTGGCGCCATATGATTTCCGTTATTGGAATGACTGGCGTAAATTGACAGACACCGTTAGCAAAGACACCTTGGACAGATGTCAACCTTCCCTGGGTGTTATTCGTACCAATGCAGAACTGCAGTCATGTCCCGATTCTGAAAGACCTAGGGGTCCTCTATATGAGACACGGCCAGGAACAGCAGCCAAGTTGATAATGAATGAAAGTGATTTATTGCCAAATCTCAAGCCAGTTGAAGGAACTGCTCCGAGATTTTGTATGGTTCCCAGTCGAGTGCCCAAGGAATGTACACCTGCCGAGATTTCTAAACATTCATTGGATTGTATTGAGGCATGTGATATATTGATAAGCAACTTCCCTCAAGCTCAAGATCTTATTGAAGAAATTCAATTATCTTTTGCGTTTTTCCTCGTTGGTTATTCCATTGAATCTCTGGAATTTTGGCGTAAAGTTTTAACAATACTCGCAAATTCAGAAGATTCGGTTACAAAATATAGATTGCTGTATATGAAATATGCCGAAGTATTGGCATTACAATTGCCTCATCTGCCAGAGGAGCTAATGGAAGCTACAGAACATAATAGTATCTACAAAGATATTCGTTCGTTGCTGGTGAATTTAAATGCATGTGGATTGCTCAAAAGTGCCGAACATTTAACGAAAAAACTTAAGAACAGTATGAATTGGTCTTTTGAAGGCCTTTTGGATGAAGATCCCGAAGATATGCCCGTCGTGGTCGAGTGTAGTTAGTAAGTATAAGTTAATTTTTACAAATACACAGTAGTTTTACATATATTGAAATTTTGCAATAAAAAAGTAAACATTTCTATGACTATTTATCCTTCTTTGCTTCGGACACAATACTGGGAGATTCCTCTGCTACTTTGTCGTCCTTGTCAGCGTTGTTTTCCTTGTCATTGAGTTCTTTTTCGGCTTCAGCAATCTCTTTGTCCAAATCCAAGTTATATTTGGCTGCCAACTCCTCTAAACGTTTCTGATTATTCTTCAAATAGCCAGGCAGGAAAAATATTGTTTGCACCATTCTTTATAAATGAATAAAATTAATTCATATACATATGCACATACATATGAGCATTGAAACTAATTAATATGTGGTAAGACTTACTTAATTAAGACATATCCTGAGATGGCCAGTAGTAAACAGGTAATTGATGTTTTCAACATAGTCCAATAATCCACAACTACTTGTTGATGTTTCATTTTGTTGCAACCACAATCAATTTTTAATTTTTTTTATTGTGGTTTTCAAAAGTGTAAGGTTAAATTAAATTTGTTGTACTTGATAATAATTTTCAATCAAACTACCGCGAGATACTGTTATAGCAATATTTCGATTTAATAATTTTGTAGTTATGTGGTGGTCATTTGGTCAGTGGTGCTGCTTTCGATAGGCTGTTGTCATGGGTACCCTGACAATTGACTGATGTGGTGGGAAAACACAATCAGATATACACATGTCCTGTTTGATTTGTTCATGTGTTTGATTAATGTCCATGTGTATGTATAAACAGAATATGTAATTAAGTATGTATGTAACTCCCTTAGGAAATCAATAATGCATATGACAATGTAATAGACAATTTTCAGATACCAATTATAAGAAATATAAAAAAACTCCCCATGCATTGCCCCATTGTAAGCCAAATCGATTGGTACAATACTTTTTTGACTAGTTATATATTGTGTTAGAAATATTTTTAATGATTAATTCAAATGTGTACTAGTACACAAAGTAGGGCACAAAAAAGCATTCTTCGTGGAAATATATATTAAACTATAGATCAGTAGAACTATGTATAAATATATTATAAGAGATTTCCAGATATTTTTTAATAAAAACAAAAATATAAATTTTAATATTTGTTGGCTAAATTAAAAAGTTTCAATAAGCATTTATTAAAAACAATATAAACACTAAATTTAACGTATTTGTTGTATTTGTATATATAAAAGTGATCTTCATATTTATTGAACGAAATTTCTCAGCGCCGCCACTACACCCATACCGTACATAAGATTTTGTTCAATTTTTTGCCATGAACTCTCCTGTACTACAGACACATCCTCCAAGGTGCTAATTACGCCGGGGAATTCTATTAGTCCCGTACTATGTGAACGTAAAAATACACTAAGATATGATTGGGCTAATTCAAAGTTATTGTTTGATTCGAACATATATTTCAGTGTTTTCAAGAACTGTATCATTGCCTTGACAGTTCCTCCACCGATTGGATGTAAAGATTTTACTTCAAAGTCGACCATGGAAGGACCTATTTGTTTAAGGAAAATCACACATTTTTCATAATCCTCGGTGCTGGCTGTTTCCTCTAAAAGTTTTCCAAAAGCTGTAAGGTTGCTAAGATTTGTCGTTTTGAATACTCTCGATTCTGAATCTTCGTCTGTTTTGGCATTGGAAACATCGAATTTCATTTCTAAACCAGCAACCGTTGGTAAAAAGAATGGTGCCTGTTTGGGTGCTTTAGGTGGAGCTTTTGGCTTATTGCGTTTCTTAATAATTTCCAAATCCAATAGATTTTGCCATCTGGACACTGCAACACCTGACATGGTAATCAAATCCTTTGATAGCTGTTCAGGTGTTTCATAATTTAAGTTAACCTCATCGCCCAAAGTTTCGTCGTCCTTCTCCTCATCGTCGTCCACATCCATTGACAATTCTTCAACGGCTTCTTCGAGACTCAATTGATCCGCCATGTTTGTGGGTAGACCCACAAATGGTGCCACCGAGTTTGGATTAATGGAACGCAAAGAAATCTGGTTGAATAGCATTTTGTTGGCCCACAAATAAACACCCAAATTGTTGACATGAGCAGTGGCTAGAAAATCTCCAGTGGGAGACATGGTGAGCGAGACACAAGGTTTCTCTACACGGAAATGATCGATCATGTATGAAGAAGGTATATCCCAAACTTTGATAGTGGCATCCATGGATGCGGAAATAAGCCAACGACTATCTGGACTGAAGGCGACATCATTAATCTTGGCGGAATGGCCTTCGAATTTACGTATAATAACTTTGGTATCCATATCCAGCACCAATAAAACAAAATTTTCCAAAGCAATTCCTATCATGGCACTCTCACGATGGCAACGCATCAATACAATGCCCTCTGTTAGTTTCTTTACGGCAAAGGGTTTCTCAACTGAAATACGAGTTTTATTAATAAAAGAATACTTGCAAATTTTGAGTTTAACTTACCTTTATCTTTGAAATGCCAGAATTTCAAGTGGCCTGCACTGCAACCAGTTACCACAACTTGACTCAAGTTATCGCATGCAATTCCCCGTATGGCTGCCGAGTGGGCCGGTTTGCCATAGCTGGCTCTATGAATTCCTGATTGTATATTGAATCTTTCCACTTCACCATTAGAATAACCAATTATAACAAAATTACCACAATGTGTCAATGTAACGCATGTGGTTTCCGTTCTGAAGTCTTGACGATTCTTATTTGTAAATTGAGCGGGTATCAGACGATGTTCGCCCATACGATTTTTGTGGAAGGACCATGTTGTTGTTTGTATGGTTCCGCTGTGAATAGCCGCAATGTTGTCCCACTCCTTTTCGCGTGTCAATTCGGTGGTAAATTCTACAATGGGAGGCATACGATGGCTATCCTCTTCAAATCGATCTAGATAAAAATAAAATGTGATTAAAATTAATTTAAATTCAATTCAAATCATTCCTGTTACTCACTCTTCTTCTTTGATGTTTTCCTATTATAACTAGCTTTGCCTAAACTTTTGTTAAGAGTTTCCGATATAGTGCTAAACGACCTCAGAGAACTGTCTTCACCAGACGATAAAATCGTTTGTCCATTCATGCCGTGGTAACGTATGCACAATGGCGGAGCTGTATGACCCTCACGTATGCGCAGCATTCGTGCCCCTCCATCGGTCATATCAAATATCCACAATTTCATTGAATTATCAGGCGAAGTTGTGAGAATCAATGGTTCATTTGGTAGACAAATGGCCGTAGTAACAGAGTCCTCGTGAGCCTGCAATTGACTGGCAATCTAAAAATAAAAATTCGTTATCTGTTACAAAAACATCACTGCAAAGTAGTGGATTTAAAGATGTCTTACCTTTTTCTCCTCTAAATTCCAAAATGCCACATATCCGTTGGTGCTGGCTGTCGCCATGATCGGTGGTCCATCTGTTCTAAATGTTATTTTCGAAACAGCTCCCCAATCTTGTTTGAACTCCATAAGAATTTCGTCATATTTCAAATTCAGCACTGTTGTTGTACCGTCCTGATGACCCACCGCTACAACGTCTATGGCGGGAGCTGGTTCAATGCAAGTAACCCTGCTGGCATGGCCATTGAATGTGTATACCAAACGATTGTCCTTAATATTCCATATTTGTATTTGACCCTGCTTGGAACCCAACACTATTTTATTCAAATACGTCGGAGGATGGGCCACAGCTGTGACCAAAAATTCTTCCGGTTTAAAGGGTATTTCCAAATACACCTCCTCATCCCTAATATCCCAAACCTTCAGTACATTGGCTTCGTCCACGGCAATCAGATGACGATTAAAAGGCAGCAACAAATGGACATTCTTGCTGTGACCCCTGTAAATGTGTCGCACATGTTTGCCAGCTCGCCAGGCGTATATGCATTTGTTACTGGCCGTATAGATGTGCCAACGATCTGTGGCCATTGCTGTGATATCATCGGGATGCTGGCCACCTACATGGAGTAGTCGAAAATGACTTGCCGTGTACACTTGGAACGATCTTCCAATACATGTTGTTATCAAATTATCTTTGCGTCTTTGGATATAACGAACGACTGCGGGGATGTGATTGCTAACATAGCCCAGAGCACGATTTCGTCGAAAAATGACACTACTGTCGCTTGTTTTCACCCTGGACTGGTTTGCCACTTCACCTTCACTAAGATTGGTCATTGTAATTTGGAAATTTCTGTGAATACTTTTGTTTATATCACTTTTTTCAACTTGATTTTAAAAACACGCGGACCCGATTCCGTTTTTCCAATGTTTTTGTCAAGAAGTCAACCGAAGAGCAAATGTGAAACGAAATCGTGTGAATGTTTTCTCTGTTTTGTCGTGAACACCGCCAAAGAGCAACATGTGCTACACGGTAAAAAATTATGAGAACTGAAACTGATTCAAATTAGTGGTCGACGTAACGTATAGCGTTTGTAAATCATGTAACTTTAAATGAGTTGAAACGCGTTTAGACCCTATATTTTATATTGTGATAAATAACATTATGAAGATTTATTTTCTAAATCGAGTTGCATTTCCCACAATTTAATGAATTGAAGTCCGTTTACAAAAAATATTTAATCACGAATCAGCGTAAATTTACCATATAATTTTAAATCATCATTTAAATAACTTACAATGTGAGTTTTGTACGAAAAACACAAAAATACAATACAATGAACCAAAATTTGCAATTGTTTTCACATGTTGTTTCTTTTCATATTCAACGGATGATTTTTAATTTATAGGTGAGTTTTTACTTTACAGTGCAAAAACAATTCCATTCTTGTAATTTTTCTTTTCACATTCAAAATGTCAAATATTTTCGGTGCAAATTTTAATTTTGTATGTACACTGGTGGCCAAAACTAAATCAACTGTAATTGCAAACTGAATAACTTATAACTTTTTTTTTTAAATAAAGTTATAGTGAATGTTTTTTTAGAAATAAATAGGTAATTTATTAAAAAGAAAACAAAAAATATAAACGTAACATTTATTTTGAAATAAGAAAATTCTATTGAAAACAACATTGATCCAAATTTTCCATGGTCAAATCTAAAAAACTTTTTGATTTTTTTCTTACAATTATTATTTTTCATTAAACAAAATGCTCAATTTGACCTTTGTGTATACTATTCCTTGCATCCTGAACCTTTGGAAAGAAGTCATGTTTATGCAAATTTGTCTATAGGGTAAAGATCTGATAAATAGCCAACACCATTATAAAACTCTGATTTTTTACTCCCGCAACTCATCTTCTCAAGCTAAAACACCAAAAAACGGTATATTTTCTTAGAAGTGAACCATTGCGGTTTCAAACACATTTGTATAATTTCATTAATTAATTTATCTTATAAATATATTGAACATCATAAAAAGGCCAATACCATTATTGACGCACCTCCATGCGTCCCAGTGTCCTTGCAATAGTGTCACATGAGCCTTTTTGGATTTTCTCACGTTAATTTTTTTCATGTTTGATTTTTTAATATTTAGCTTTAATTAATCCGAAAGCATAATATTTCTCCATTGAGTCGGATTCCAATTTGTATGAGCTTTTGCGAAAGGCAACCTGGCTTTCCGATTTTTTCAGAAATAATCCTCTCACTAATTCCGTAGAACTTTAAAAATGAGATTTTTTACTACTACAATAATTTGTTAATCAGTACGAACTGATGCCACTTTGCAGCCTTCCTCCGTGCTAAACTATGACTACTGATACAGTTGCATAAAAACTTATAAATCTCTGATTTTTGTGTCAGGTTATTTTAATAATTAGCTGTTTTATCGGAGCACTGTATTTGTATCTAGCCCTTTCAAATTTTCTTGGCAGTAAGTCAAAATTGAAAACCATGTGTCAGGTTATTTTAATAACATCCATTTGAAAATTTTCTATAACAATCGAAATAGGTGTAGAAAACAAAACAGTAATGATAAACGTAAAAATAACTTCAATTTCAGAGCTCATATGTTTGTAATTTAGAGTTGCTTTAGTTTTGTCCAAGCAAAAATTGAGACAATTTCATTATCCATAAATTATTATTTTTGCTTTTGCGACTTTGACGAGTTCATCAAGAACCCAAAAGGACAAATTCGCCTTATGTCAAGTTTTTCCAAATTCTCCTATTGTAAGCTTTTCCACTTTTACCGGATCCTTGCTCTAAAAATGTACACTAATTCAATTCTTATGCATTGCAGATTATGAAGAACTGAAATATAAATCATTATTAAAAACATTTTCTATTAATTACTATCACTGAGGACATTAAGATAACCGAATTCAAAATGTTTCGATGTCTAAATGTTAACCGGTTAAATATATAATTTTCGCATTTTTTACAAAATTCCAATGCCAGAAATAAACATTTTTGGTGAAATGTTCGGGTTTCTTCTTAGTTCCATTCCAGAATCTAAAAGATTCTACTAATTTTCTAACTTTCTACTCCAAACCCGTTTCTGAACCCACAACACTAGTAAAATGTTCAACCAAATTTTAGAGAACACAAAACGAAATGGCATTCTCTTTGTACACTTGTTTTCTCGGCCTAGTAAAAATGGTAAACAGGAATGCCTACTAAGTTGATTTTGAAATATTGCCATCAAATTTTTGCATTTTGCTAGTTTTGAACTTGGAGAGTGATTTTGACTTTTTTCCCTTTTACTAATTTTACTATGAAAAAAGTACTGGAATAGAACACTTGCAATTCGTCCATGCTGTCCATGACACTAACACTAATACGAAGCATTTTCGGATTGGGATTTTGGGGAGGTCATTATTTCAGATTAGCTGACCTTCCCGGTTTGGCCCGATTTTATGAATATAAATACTGCGGGTCTATTAAAAAATGCAAAATGTTCTTGTTTTTAACTAATTGTGGCAAAGCCTCACAAATTGCCAACTTTAATAATAAACTATAACAAGCAGATATGAGATCTGTCTAACAAAATCATGAGAATCTGAAGCTTAAACTTTAGTATTAGAAATACACAACCATTTAAACTTATAGTGCTAACAACGTCGAGTTATTTTTTCATGTTTGATTCCTAGAAATACTATTTGTATATCTTCATGAAATATATATTGGTCGTTAAAATACAAACCACACCCGCAGAATTGATTTCCATAATTCATTTTCCGGAAAACTGAGGCCATTCTGGAATTGGGAACCATAAGTATACCTGATAATCTATTTAGCATTTAAGTTCCATAGTTAGTGTTATATTAAATGTATTTAGCCTGCTTATTCATTATAATATAAAAAATATTTCATTGATACCTGGTTTTCAACAAACCCCGATTTAAATAAATACTTTGAAAATTGCACAAATCTGTGTATTGTTGTTTATTTTATTATATATGTGTATTTTTGTTGTTGCTTTTTCCTTTTTCATATTTATACATGTATGCATTTGTATTATAACATATGTATATGTATTTGTCTAATATTTGTTTAGCTATATAAATTTGCTAAAATTTGTCTGTATTCTTTTTTTTGAAAAGACATTTCAGATAATATAATTTTAAATAATTTACAAAGATTAAGAGGCGATTTGGCATGAAATTAATTGATTAGTTATTTAAAGTAGTGCAACAAATTGAGTAAATGTATAGTTCAGCGGTGTAGTCATATGTGTATATTGACAATTAATTATATAATCGAACTTAAATGTAATAGAAATTATAAATATATTCTTTGGTTTTTTTATATAAATAAATTAATTATAATAAAATATTTTAAAAAGAGATCATGCTCATTAAATTGTAGAAGCTTTCGTATAAGTAAATTATTTGTTTTACTTGGAAATTGCATGTTCAATTTTCTACTTCTGTTAAATTAGGAAATTACAGTTTTTAAAGGTTTGAACTGAACCTGAACCCCCGCTTAAAAGGAAAATATAAAATAACTGTGATGATCGTGACACCTAGCAGCATAAATGTCTTAATTTTTTCAAGTTCACATGTTTGTTTATTTATTATTTTTTTAATTTCTTTTGGATAATCTGTATTTTCTAATAAATAATTTTCTTATATCATTCATTGTCTTATATACAATGCGTGATAAGAATTTATTCACATATATATATTTTTTGTTTCAAATAATTTTTTTATGTAGTCTTTTGCTTTCCTTAGTTATACATAAAATAATTAGTATATTGTACAATAATATTAGGATTTTGTTTTTTTTTTGTTTTTTTTTTTAACTGAAATTTTTACCAGCCCTTGTTTGTTGTTGTTGTTAGTTATTTTATCATTGAAAACATGAACAAAATTCCAGTTAAAGTTTTCATTTGATTAAACATTTAAGATAAATAGCAGTTCTATTCTGTTTTAGTTAAGCATTCATGAAAATTTGTGACCATTTCTAGTATTTAGTTTAGATTAATTTGTTTTTTTTTTATTATTTACAATTCCAACAATAAATGAAATAATAGCTGATGGTTAAAGAGAAAAACAAAACAAAAATGTTTTAAATTTTGATTAAGAAAACATTTTCCGTTTGGTATGGATATAACATGATGGTGGTTGTGGTGGTGGTCATCGGTCGGTTGCTAGTTGTGGTTTGGTTGATAGTTTCGGCATACGCTAGTTATATTAACTTAGTAGGAGTTGTTGTTGGTGTTAATATTATTTTCTCGATTGAAAAACTCTTCAGCCAGTGGATAATCCGCATCAGCATTATGTTCAGCTACCGGCCTTCTATGGGTATTACCAAACTGAAATGGGAAAAAGAAACGGAAAATTCATATTAATTTATTGAATAATAATTATTTTAAGAAATTCAGTTGCCGGAAACCATATTTAAAATGTCATCCCTACAAGCCTTGCCAGTTTAACAGTGCATATAAAGAAGACACGGTTTGATGACTCTTATGGCATGTCTCTGACCCCGAATACTATTGATATTCGTTGGAGAATAATTCAAATCGTCGACTTATATCGTGGCAGTATCAACACGCTGTTATTATTGCGGGATTAAGTTCAAATTATTTTAAACTTTACATAATTCGATTAATATCAAGTTTTATTTTTCTATTTTGTAGATTTGTGGCTGATACCTTGATTTTTAATCGTGAGGCAAATCCCGGATTAAGTTGAACACACGTCGTTTGGCTAACCAAGGTAAATGATTTACACATGTTATCCTTTTGGCGTAGTGATATATTAAAACGCTTTTAAGATCAAGGTGGTGAAGAAAATGTGTAAAGGATTGTATGATCTGCTAATACTTAACGAAATTGGAAAAAAAACATCCTTAAGACTACATACTTTCAACTCTCCGATGATAAATTTGTCACAACTAATTTACTTATCTCAAGGACGAATCCCATTGAAATTGGGAAAAATCGGTTCAGATTTAGAAAGTGTTCCCATATATATTTTTATACAATATTTGTTAATGGAGCACCAAAGCCCCTACATTTCTTTCGATTTGCACGAAATTTGGAATAGCGTACTGAATTAATTCTAGAATGGAGATTTAGATATATATATATATATATTTAGATATATATATTTTGATCTGATTTTATATTACTGGAGCACAAAAGCCCCTTCATTTCTTTCGATTACCAAGAAATTTGACATAGAATAATGAATTGAGTCTAGAATGTGTGCTAAATTTCGTAAAAATCGGTTCAGATTTAGAAAGAGCTCCCATATATATTTTCGTCCGATTTTAAGTAAATTCTGCACTAAAGAATCAAAGTTTGCCCGATTGGCACAGAATTTTGTACAACGTACTGATGTTAGTATAACTTACCCTGTGAAAAGTTTCGTTAAAATCGGTTAAGATTTATATTTTCGTCCGAATTCAGGTAAGAATAATAGAATATGCCCGAATGAAGTGAAATGTAGCATAGGTTGCAAAAAGGCATGTGTAAGGTAGCATATAGTCGATCCAGTCTGACATTACTACTTTCCTTACTGTTTTTTTATAAGGATGTAAGGAAGAAAAATAACTTTAAAACTTGACATTTCTATTTACATCCGATACTACTATTTGCAATATAATTGAAATCAATAATTTGAAATACATGCAATGTCTAACTACTTTCTCTGAATTTTACTTTCCGTTTTAGCTCTTAAACGAAAAACGTCCAGACACCCCCCAAAAATTACAATTAAATCAATGCTATCAAAAATGCCTTTTGGATTGACATTTACTTTTAATGTTGCTTTCATCAACTGCCACTTACCCAAGATTTCATCATTTTAATTAATCGATATCTGGGATATGCTTCTAGGTCGGCATCCAAAAGCATAGTGTTGGCCTCACTTGGATACATTTGAAGCATAGGATTGGTATGGTGCTGCTGTTGTTGTTGCTGTTGATTCGGCTCATTTTGTAGGTCGAGACCTGTTGGCATATCGGGCATTTGCGAATGCAATGAACGTTTGCCATGTCCTCCATAGCAGGCATAGCCATATGCATTACAGCCTTCTGCAATGAGAAAAACAAAAAAAGAAAAAATAAGAACTGGATAAGAAACTGGCTTCACACACGACGCATAGTAGCAAAATGTTAAAGTGTTGCAAATGGAAAAGTCAAAGTCAACCAACTGGCCTTCCATTTTTCCATTCATCCCTCCGGCTACCCACTCACTTAGTTATAGAACAAGAAATGTGTGCAGAGTAAAGAAAATTCTACAATTCATTACTGGAGGGCCAAGAAACCTAAAATGATAGTAAGAGGAGAAAGGTTGCCTTTTGACTAGGCAGAAATGGAATTTTGGTTAAACAACAAAAACATGAAAAATATGACTGATGTAAACCCAGGTACACAGACATCTACACATTTATAATTTAATTGTTTGGGTATGGCCCAATTTAAATTTTAATAAGTCTGCAATTGAGGGTTATTTTTATGCCGTTTAATCTTTGGAAATTATACGGGAAAAATAAAAAAAAACTTTAGGCACAACTTTTTAGGAGACTTGCTTTGTATTAAAGTCATTTTTGAAGTTTTCCAAGTTTATTATTATGGACTTTATGTCAAATTTAAATGCAATCGTGTTAGGGTTCTTGTTGGTTGGTTCACCCCTTTTTGATTTTATAACCCTTGAGAGACTTGTTGATAATCGTTGTTTTGAAGTTTTTTGTTCGCCGACTAAAACGCGTATTGTGCCAATGATGTTTTTGTGCGTTTGCTTCTTTGTGTGTTTCTATTTGATGCCTTAATCAACCACTTAATATACAATTTATCTATCCTTGTTATGCACAAATATTTATATTTATGCAAGAGTGTGTATTTATGTGAGTGCGTGTGTGTTTTGCTGCTACCTTTGAATTGTAATGTGGTCTTTTATTGGTTGAAAGATTAAAAATATTGTTAAATATCCATTGGGAATTGTTGTGTGGCAAACAGAGGATAAACTCTTCGTTAGTCAGTCCACATGTATTTAATTGGTTACCTTTGATTTCACTTTGAAATCAAATATTACCAAAGTTCTATTTTGTTGCTGTTGTTTTAATTTCAATGTGACTCTGTTGAGGTTTTATTACTTTGAAATGTTTTGTAAATTGTAGCTTGCTTTTTGTTTCAAAACAAACTCTGGAGAATTGTCCAATTTTATTGTATAAATACTTTGTTGCAGAGTGTGGCAGTATGTTTTGGGAATTCCACAGTTTGCCACAACAACAACAAACATAACTTAATTGCAAAGATTCGCATTTGAAATTTGCTCGTGAAACAAAAGTGCTATTAATGAATCAAAGGTGATGTGATGTTTAAAATATATATGCTTCATTATTGCTTTATATTAAGATTGATTTTTTTTCCATTTTATTTTCAGTTGTCTTATGATCTGATCTGGTCAGAATTTGGATATTTTAAATGGAGGTTAATATTGAGGGGGAGTGCTGAATGATATGACGATGTTTAAAATTTTTGAATAAAGGTAAGGAGACACAATTAATGGCTTAAAAAAATTGTGAATCAATTCCTTACCACCGGAAGGAATCCGTCTTTGTTTATATAACAGGGCTTACTTGTTTTAATGACTGATGTTTTATCTTAAAATATCAAATTAAAATTTCTATAACCTCCACAATAAGTTGGAGTGTATATGAAATTAATTATGCCGTTTGTTACACATTGATATATTAATCGAAGATCCCATAAAGTTATATTATTGATCGTTATAACATTCTCTGTCCATTTTGTCATGATCGTATATTGCCTGTTGCAATCACGATAAATACGGTTTTTTGATGGTTCTAATATAGTATTTTGTTTTTTTTTTTTATTATTTGCAAAAAAAATGCATTATAGGTCTATGTTTTTAATTGTGACGGAGCCACTGCAATTTTAAGGAGTGGATTTTCAATAGGAGTGGATGTATTTTCGTCTTCGCAGACAAAGTAGATACCGTTCTCGAATCCATAAGATAGTTTACAGATAATAATTCTGATTAATTTGTTTGAGGTAGCCATTATTTACCGGTCTCGCCAACAAATTAGTCTGCAGGTCCTAGTATCATCTTCTAATAAAAAATTGTCTAATAAAAGTTGTAATATATTGAAATATGAAGTGTGGAAACATATTGTGCTCTCGGATGTTAAATATTAAGTTAAATATTAAAGACTCAGACTCGAAAAAAATGACCGTGATTAAGTCCAAAAATTAAAGGCTCATGTCACAGTATTACAAGGGTACTGGGAAGCATGGTCAATAATGGTATTAGGCTTATGGAGTTCGACTTATTTACGAGATTTATAAAGTACCGAATCGGATTGTTTATACAAATGTGTTGGAAAACGGCATTTTTACCTTCACTATTTCAGCTTGAGAATAACCTCCAAATATACCCCAAAACATGTCAGAGATGGGTTGCATGAGTCAAAAATCAGGGTTTTATAATGGCCAACACAATCATCAGATCCTCGCCCCTTAAAATCCTTGGAATATCATAGATAGCAAAATCAAGAGTTTCACAAACAGACATAACCTCTTCCCAAAGGCTCTGGATGCAAGGCATAGTTACCCAGGGATCAAATTGAGCATTTTATTGATTCAATGTCTCATAGAATATTTTATATTGTGTTTTTGCGTTAATATATATATATATATATATATATATATATATATATATATATTGTAATGAATAAATTACCTATTTATTTCTGGAAAAAACTATAACTTTGTTTTCAAAAAAGTTACAGGTCATTTATACATTTTGCAATCGGTTGCTTTAGTTTTGGCCACCAGTGTATATGTAGGTATTACGGGTGTGTAGGTGTTTTTTATTTGTATGATGAATTTTGATTTCGGGGATAATGTAATAAGTGATCGCAGAAAATTATGGAATTGGGTTAATGGATTGTCGATGCTACCATATATCGGTCCCGTCGATTCTTTACATTTTGAAGGTCCTTATCCCATTTTTTAACAAAATTAACAATAATTGTTGAATATTATTTTAAAATAACTGTAATATCGTTTGTGTTCCTTAGGTGGAGGGTGGAAAAGTTATTTGAAATTAACAACGTTTTTATTTGTTCTAAAAACAGTCCTTATTAAGAGTATATTGTATCGAAATGACATTTTTAAGTTTATGAACATATTAATAGTCAATAAACTCTCGAAAATTTTAAAATTAGAATCAACAAATCAGAAATATTAACTTTGAAAAAGTCGAATATGATTTCTGTAGATCGGACCGTTTATTCACATTAACGTATACGTGTTGTACTATTGCTTTTCTGTCATATCAATCATACGCTTAGCAACATGGACGGCAAAATACGAAGCAAGTTCTAATTATTTACATTGGTTGATAACCTATTTTATTTTTGCTAAAGGTTGCATGTGATGTCACATGCACATAACAACCAATGGATAGATGACGACTGAAACAAAAAATAGTAACGTTTTCATTTGATATTTCATTTTTTTTTGTTTTGACTTTATGTGCAATTTTTTGTAACCCAAATAATTGGAACAATAGATTGCACAAAATGCATTCCAGTCTGAACTGAACTTTTACTTGTGTACGTTTTTGTTTTCTTATCAATAAGAAGCAGAAGTGATGACTTATTGAATGTATGACAGAACAATAAATGGGGTAAGAGTGGATTGTGAGTTTTGTCAAGTCAACATGTTCTTTGCAATTGTATACTTAGTATATGGCTCCGTTTCTTAACCCACATTAATATTTAATCACACATTCCTATATTCTCGTATTTCAACACCTGTAAAAGTGCATATGTGTGTTCTACTTAATTCACACACACACCCCTGCACCTTGTGCAACATTATTGCTACACCAATTGTTCTTCGACATTGTCTTGCCAACAATTTCCATTTTCATAATTTTATTATGCTGCTGTTTCTTGCGAAGACAAACGAATCGAAACGAAACGGAAGCGCGTAGTCGTTTTGTTCATTGAATGGACCGACCAACCGTTCGAGCTCTGAACGAGCGTATGAAAATGATAACAAATATTTGTGTTGTTCTTACGTAGAAACACACACTCACACATATATAAACATACAACAACGTCATCATTATGCCATTGTGCTCAGCATCCATAACCCAAAGAGAAATAAACTAAAAAACTATTTTTTTGCAACAATAAATGCCGGTTGTTACACTGTTGACAATTGACGTCAAATGAATTCAGAGAAAATATTGGTTTGTTTATGTTGTGCATTGAAATGACTTGCAAAATGATGCACAAACACACACCCATACGCACACCAATTGATATTTCATAAATGCATATTGAACAATAAAAGAAAAATACTGGGTAAAATTGCAAACATAAATTATACATTGAAATAACATAAATATGCATATGCCATATATGGGTCATTCCATGTGGAATCGAAAAAGGGGTAGTATGTATTTTTGGTAATATAATTCGGGGGACATGTCAAACGTCTGATCTGATCAAAAATAACACCTATCTTAAAATTTCGTATGTTCGATTTTCAGATAAAAATATTTATTCGAACAAAATGAATCCAAAAAACTGTGTTCAGGGAACCCCCCTTCACGATTTTAAATTTTCAATGGGCTGGTAAATTCATTCCAAAGCTTGTTAAGGTTTGTAACTTTGCAAATATATATTTGAAGATTTAAAGGGAAAGAAAAATAATTTACAAATTTTTTTGTTATTATTTTGTTGTTGTTTTTGGGATTAAAGAAAAGTCCTTATTTTTGATGGCGGAATCCGAAAATTCCAACGGTGTTAGAAAGGGTACATTTGTTACCCAATGTGTATCAAACATTTTAAATTAAGTCCAAATATGTTGAAAAAAGTTTGAGAAGCCTTCCTGCCGTCACTTGATGCTAGCACAATAAATCGGAAGAGTTGTTGAGATTTTCACTTGATATTTCATAGGGACATTATTGAATTAGTAAAGAACATAACATAGCATAAGTTCAAGTGTGGTAAAGACCGATAATAGGTATAATTGGCTATACTCTAAAGCACACTTTGGAAGTGCTTTGAGGTTTGGGAAAACATTGGCATAAGTGAGAATGTTATGAAAGGTACAATTTAAATACAAATAAAATTATTATAACGGTTATTTTTTGATCAGACCTCGTATATAAATAATTTTTATATGATATAATATAAAAATAACAATATAAATTAAATATATAAAAAAACATTATTTCTATATTTATATTGAATTTTGTGAGACACGGTCCCACATATTTTGTATTTTGTGTGGGTCGTTGTCTTCAAATCACCTGTACCGTATATATGCACCGTAAGCTATTTATGTCTGATAAGAAGGTTTGCAATTTATAATATCAATTAATAAAAGAAAAGTAGAAGATTGTGTTGAAATATACATACATTTTGGATGACAATTTTGAGGCAAAAAATAAGTTTCTTTTATATTTTCCAGAATACCTTTAGATTATTTATTTATGTATTTCATCCAAGCCCATTAGTGTTCGAAGTGAACATTTTAATATCCCAAAGTTCAAATAATTTTACTTATAAAATAATCTATATTTTTTGTACCTAAACTTCATAGCTAACTTGAAATTAAGATTTTAATTTTTAAACTGTCCACAAAGCATTTGTAACGTCAAATGAATTTTTAAAATTTAAAAATAGAATGTGGTGTCTCCCAACTACAATGGTGTTGTACATGAAAACAGATGTTTTAATAGATTTGTGATACTTACTCTTAGCCTGACTTTGTTGTGCGGCCAAGCACATGGTACAGATTACGACCAGGAAGAAGGATATTGATAGTTTCATGTTTACAAGGATCTGAAAAATACAAAGAAGAAATAAAAAATTAAATAATCTCTAAATGAAAAAGAGTATTTGTATGTTAAAAAAAGAAGAATATTTGTTTTGTGATATAAATATAAGTTTCTATCTTCATAATACATAATTTTCAGTTAGCATTTGTGATATAGACTACTGAAATAGGATGCTTGGGTCCTTGTGGAATAGGCATCCGCAACCTGAGTAATAACTTTTTTTAAAAAATAGTAAAAATTGTTGAATGGTTGCAGTACGATAACAGACAATTTATCATGCCTTATTTACAAATGGTCAATAATAAAATTAAAAACTTTTCGGTTAAAAAAGAAACATTAGACCCAATTGACATTGTTAATTGCATGTTGACAGAACTTTAATACATTTTTCTATAAAAATATAAAATAACCTTTATTTAGGTCGGTCACTTAAGATTGAAATTGTAAACAAAAATTTCCTTTTTAAAGCAAAGCAAAGGAAACACCAGGCTTCCATTTATTTTGGACGTCCATTCGTGTTGAACATTTAGTATAAGTAACGGAGTTAAGTTTGTTTTTGGAATGACAGGTTATAGTCTACACGTACGTGTATGACTTTAGATTAAATGCCAAAAGTGACCAATCCCACGCACCCGAAATGATTATAGGTCTTAAATGTTTACAAGAACTTAATTAAATTTCAACACTGAAGGTAAAGGCCAGGCAGGTATGGAAGTAAATTAAATAACAGATTGAAAATACATATCACTGTTTTCACTCCTTTTTTGGATAGTATACATTTCCCAGATATACTAAATTATACATTTATCATAATCATATCATAACAGGTGAAACGAATACCGACACTTATAACCAAATGCCTGTCTGGTCATTCAAAATGTTTCACAAATTCTCATCACGTGTTTGGCTATTTATTCTATGATGTTATGGTTATGTTATTCCAACAACAACAATAAGAACACATGAGATCAAAAGTTCTGACAAGAATAGAAAACAAACAAAAAACAATCAGACAATTTCGTGGGCCATTCATTTAAGATTAACTGCTGCTGTTGTTGTTAACCTGTCATCGACCGGTCATTTGGTAGGTTGTAAATAAAATATTTGTACAACAATTAAGACTTGGTTGCAAACACACGTTGCAAACCTATATTGTTATCAGGTTATTTTTTTACAAATAAATAGCCGACTTTTGGGCTATTCCTATTCCTTGGAAATTGTTGTCATTGATGTCTGTCATCATCTTTGTAGTTTGTTTCTTTGCTTTTTTGTTCTTAAAGTTTTAATCCCACTTAAATAGTTTCTGTTAAACGTTGACATGTTGCGGACACAAAGATTTGACTTTGATTTTGTACCGAAATAGGGATTATACATGTTTGAATCAGATACAGAAAGTTTATTTTGACTTGAAGTAAAACAAAATAATGATGAAGATTTTGTATGTCACGTATATTAGAAAACATTTAATGATTTATTTATTTTAGAGAAACTGAATTAAATAAACATTTGAAGAGATTGACATGAAACATGTGGAAGTACATAAAACATGGGAAATGCAAACAAGATTTATTATTTCCTACAGTTTATGTTTTAAGTTACATGATTGATTTTTCGATACGTAGATCTATTGTGATGTCCCTAATTTGTTTAACTATAGTTGTATGTGGAATTAAAAATCATTTTGAGACCTTGATAACTAAATTTTAACAAATATAAAATACAACTTAACTTGATTTTATAATCAGAATAAAAGTTAACATTTGAAATCGAATATATGATTGTACGTTTTATTATAGCCCCATATTTAGTATATTGTTGCTCTTTTATTATTTGTTGAAGTCTGAATTCTCATTGACAGAAAATGCACCTACCAAATATTATAAATTTTGCCCAACCTTTGACATTTCGATATTTTGTGTAGGTTTTTTAACCGAATACCACAAAGCACACGAAAAAGATATTTCAGCAACGTTTAATGTGGATTTTCCTAAAATCTCAAAACCAACGAACACTGACCGATATTGATTGAAAACGCATTGTAGGGTGGGGGCAAAGTAATATTGGATACAACTACACAGAAACGCTCGTCACCCCTCACAGTAAAATATCGTTCAAACCATTTCAGATTTATGCTCATTGGATGGGTGACATTTCGCTCCAAATAAATATTTTGTTGTTTTTTGTTAGGAGCATTCAGTTGTGAGTTACAGGGTGTTAAAAATGGTAGTGAACAAAGAGAAAATTCGGTACAAGTCGAGCGGCTAAAATTGTGAATGCTGTTTATGGTTCCGATACTGTTCCACCAGGACAACGTTAGGCCACACCCATCTACAAAGACTCGCCAGAAACTTCGAAAGCTTGGTTGGGAAGTTTTAATGCATCCGCCATACATTCCGGACTTGGCACAAAGCGATCATCATCTTTTTCATGCATTGCAAAATTTCTTTAATGATAAAAATTGGTATCTAGGAAGGATTGTGAAAATCGACTACTAGATTTTTTCAAATAGAGAGCAGGACTTCTGTGAGAGAGGCATTATGAAGTTACCTATAAAATGGCAGCAGATCTTGTTGCATGATCTGCAATCTGGGCCAAATCGAAAATTCCGAAGCATGTTAAATAAAGTCCTATAGTTCATAAAGTCCTATAGTTCATATAAAAATAATCGATTTCTTTTTCCCCAAACTTTAGATTTGTGAATGCGAACGATATAAAAATCACATTGAAATTTCTTCTAAAAAATAAAAAATAAAATGTATGTAAATTATCATCCCTCTCCACATAATGTTTGACAATTTGGAGAGGGATAATAATAACAAAACAGTAAATCAATTATATTTTACAAGGTTTTTATTTATTTTCCTTCATACACGGACTATTATTTTATCGGGATGTCCACTTTCCATATTTAATATGTGCAAGTTTTTTTTGTATGAGTTTACATTTTTAAATATTAATTAGTTATTTAAAGCATTTACCCAGTCTATAATAGAGGTAGTAGAGTATTGTGAACTATATTTACACTCACCTTTTGCAAAATAAAAAAATATGATGATGGTGGTAATTATGTGGTTTTCCCCCGAATGGGACTTTAAATTTCTAGCACTCAAAATGTAATGCCAATTAAATTGGAAACACACAAATTAAGCACTTAATTGGGTTATAATTCTCTTTTTTCGAATATTTTAATTGTTACTTTGATGTGTTACTTCTTAATCTACATAAATAATTGATGGTTGCTTTGTTTTAAAATAGTTTGGGTAATGAGCGAGAGTGTATGCACTCTTTTTTTTTTCAAGGTACTTTTATAAATCACAGATGGTTTTCACTTAAATTTCTATTCGATTTGCATTAAGGTTGTTATTATTGTTTTTTTTTTTTTGGTTGCCAAATTTAACAACTGCCGCCGGGATCCGTTTCTATTTTGTAATTATTTGTGTCTGTTTCTTTTTTCTTGGTATCACTTTTTTTTGTTTTGGGATTTTTTTTTTTTTTTGGTTCCGTTACAAAAAAATAAATCAGATCATGAGCTCAATAAAAACTCAATGATGTTTGATTCGACCAAGTACTGCTGCGTTGTACATTTTTCGAAAGTTAAAGACAAAATGAAATTGTTGTCGCACAGCGAGAGATTAATATAGCTTGTGAATTTGAAATATGATTTTAAAATAATCAAATCGCTGATCCGATTTCTGTTTGGTATATGGTGTTGCCACAGGGGAATTAAATGCGGTTGCATACCAAATTTTTGTTATGGGGTTTTGTGATTAAAAAAGCGTTCTTATTTTTTATGGCGGACATGACACTCCAAAAATTCCAACGGCATTATAAAAAGCACATTTCTACCTTTCGTATGACTACTGACTTCGCACAGAAATTAACAAAAAGGCGGAACTTTGATTTTTTTCGAAAATCCCCTATTTTTGACTAATAACGAAGCTGGGAAATTAGAAAGATCTAGACCGATTGTATTTTTCCTAATTCGTACTATAGCTATATACTAACAGAGAAACGTGTCAAAATTTAGAAGCGATTGTATTAGTTTTTGTGTTATCGTGCATGCCATTCGTAAAAACATTGTTTCGACAAGCACTCTTGATGCTAACACAATAAATCGGCTACATCTTCAAGAGTAGGTTAGCATAAATAAAAACACAAAATTTAATTTTTTAAAACCGAGAATGGAAAAAAATTGTTTATTTTTTTCATTCATAAATATAGACTTAGACAATATCAAATAAATAACGTCGGTCGGACGTGATATATTGGCTACCAATTTTATTAATTACAGGGGCGTCGTGCATCATAAAGAACAGAGAATATGATCATGATTTTAATATGGTCACGTGACCAAAAAAAACGAGGCAGTTCTATGGACAATTTTCTTTGGATTTGGTTAATTTTCGAAGATCATTCACGCGGTCGATTGCTGTTTTGTTTTTGGAATCATGCGCCTAGATCCATGATTCACTATCTGTGAATATTTCCGAAGTATTTTGAAGCAACGCAGCCCTATTTTTCAATTTTTTTAAGCGATTTTTAAATTATGCGGCATCCAAGCACAGCAAACGTTTTTGCGAGTGTGTTGAATGAATGCTGGTGGTAATTGAGCAAATACCCTAAATTATTTATTGGAAAAATGACCAAAATAGAAATACGACCATTTATAATAACACTGTGCGACACAAAAATTTTTCAGGGGTTCTAATGTACCAATTCTGTTTAGTTGGAGTCCCTGGATCACGAAAATACCTTTGGTTTTTCTGGGTCACTTCGAAAATTAATTTTATAACGGTAAATATAGAGAAAATCGTGGTTTCATGGACTTTCCATTTGAAACTTGAATAACTTATTTACTTTATAACGGATTTATATTATTATTTTTTTCTTTCGAAGAGTACAATTTTTCCTTTCAAACAAGATATATATTTGGTAAATCGGTTGAGGATTGACTGAGTTACAGCGGTTGAAATGTGAAAAAATACGCATAAAATTACAAAATTTATTTTTCTTC